AATAAAAAAAAATTTATTAGATTTAATAAGATAGTTGACAAAATATTTAAATTTAAAGTTAAGAAAACTTTTACTTAAAAAAAATTTGTCCCATTTCTACTAACTCTCCCCATATGACATTTTATAGTATTAGCTTATACTTTACATCTTGCAGGATAGTCAATTTGAGTCTAATTCAAATATATATATATAGAGCGATATTCTTGTGAATAGGATCAGACAGATTTTTAGAGAACTTTTGGATTGTTAGGATTTTGGAATAGTACTCTGAGTAGTACTTCTTGAGTTTAATAGAAATAGGAGGAAGTTGGTTGATCAGTTAAAGGTCTTGGTTACTTTTAGTGGCTTGAATATACATAATAATGCTTACGACTCTAAGCTAAATTGGCAATGGTATAAAAAAGTCTCTCCCCTGGTTGTAACTATAAACCACTTGATAACACCTATAAAAGTACACCATGACTATAATATCAGAAGTTTTATCCCGTTTATATGAAGAGTCATCGAGATATTTTGGATTGAAAAAAGCACAGATTATTTTTCAGTGTTCGGATCTTATGTGATTTCAAAGAATCATACTATATTATCATGATATGCAACCATTGAAAGAGTTTTAATTTCTGATAAATATATCTCGCGAAATATTATTATATAGAGTCTTTGCCTTAAAAATCACCTTCTGACATTTCTGATTAGGTTAATTCAAACAAAAATAAACCTGAGTACCAGTTTATGTTTATATATTGCAGCTATTTTCATAATTTCTAAAACACATGATAAAAATTGACCGAATGGCTTTTTAGTCAATCTGGTTAAGTTATTGATTTTAGCATGATCGGTATGTATATAAATTATGTTTAAATATATAGATTACATTGTAATTTGATATATATATATTTTTACACAAACTAAACACACTAAACATGTTGGGCAAGTATTTAAATAAAATTTAATAATATTGAACTTGTCGGCATTTACAATATTAAAATTTTTGTAAAACAAAGTATTATTTGTCTTTTTATATTAAAAATTTGTATAATTTTTTATATATAAGTTTCTGATATGTAATTTTTGTATATATATAATGTTGGTTAAAGCTTTCAAGAGTGCTAGCAAAACTTTCATAATATATGTGCAATAATCATGTACTAGTGCACTAGTTAACTGTTAATTTAAAAGGTAAATACGTACGTATATACATGCATACGTACTATACAATTTTATAATTTTATCTGGCAAACTCTTATGATCATAGATTTATTTCTTTTTGTTATTTTTTGGTGTGTTATGTCGTTATCATATTTATTCAAATTAAAACTCAGTTAATAAATCACGACTTAAGAATCATGATCATTATTTGCCAGATAACACAAATATTGACATGAGTTGATAAATATTATATACTTATTGGATCTATTATGCCAAATTCACAAACTAATCGAATTGGTTGAAGCATTATTCAGTCAATTTTTATCAGATGTATTATGAAAATAGCTGTAATCATCTTTTAACTTTATTGATTCAATAGTTATTCAATAAACTATTAAATCAATAAAGTTAAAAGATGATTAACATATGAATATGAACCGGTACTCAGGTTTATTTTTGTCCAAATTAACCTGATCAGAAAGGTCAGAAAGTGATTTTCAAGGCAAAGACCCCATATAGTGGTCTTTGCAACATCTATTTATAGTATTTATTCTATACTATTTAGCTTGTTATATAATAATAGGTTCTAATACTAGTATATATAAAAAAAAATTCAGACACAGACTAGTCTGCAGACTTCAGACCAGACCCGGACCAGACTCAGACTTGATTAAAAAGCTTGAATATAAAAGACTAAGTCTGGTTTGAAAATCAGACCAGACTTAAACTTGACTAAAGTCTGGTTCAAGTCCGGTTTATAGAAGCACTATCCTTATATCTAATTTAGTTATAAAATAAATGTAAAACAAAAAAATTTATTGAAATTACTAATTTGGTTAAAAGGAATATTCTGTTAGCGTAGAAACTGTTGAAATCACCAACCCGGTCAAAGAAAACAAGTTGTAAGTGAAAGTAATTGTTGAAATCATCTAACGGTCAAAGAGAACAAGTTGTAAGTGAAGGTACTATTAAAATCACCCACCCGCTTAAAGAGAACAAGTTGTAAGTAAAGGTACTGTTGAAATCATCAATCTGGTCAAAGAGAATATTTTGTTAGCATGGGCACTATTAAAATTACCAATCCGGTCAAAGAGAACAAGTTGTAAGTGAAGGCATTGTTGAAATCACCAATCCGGTCAAAGAGAACAAGTTAAAGCAAAAATGTTGTTTAAACCACCCACCTGGTCAAAGAGAACAAGTTGTAAGTGAAGGCACTGTTGAAATCACCAATTCAGTTAAAGAGAATATTTTGTTAGCGTAGGCACTGTTAAAATCACCAACCCGGTCAAAAAGAATAAGTTGTAAACGAAGGTACTGTTGAAATCACCCACCCGGTCAAAGAGAACAAGTTGTAAATGAAGGTATTGTTGAAATCACCCACTCGGTCAAAGAGAACAATTTGTTAGCGTAGGCACGGTTGAAATCACTAATCTGGTTAAAGAGAACAAGTTGTAAGCGAAAGTAATTGTTGAAATCACCCACTCAGTCAAAGAGAACAAGTTGTAAGCGAAGGTACTGTTGAAATTACCAATCCGGTCAAAGAGAATAAGTTGTAAATGAAGGTACTGTTAAAATCACCAATCTGGTCAAAGAGAACAAGTTGTAAACGAAGGTACTGTTTAAATCACCCACCCGGTCAAAGATAACAAGTTGCAAGCGAAGATACTGTTGAAATCACCAATCCAGTCAAAAAGAACAATTTGTTAGCATAGGCACTATTGAAATACCAATCTGGTCAAAGAGAACAAGTTGTAAGCGAAAATAATTGTTGAAATCACCCACCCAGTCAAAAAAAACAATTTGTTAGCATGGGCATAGTTGAAATCACCAATATAGTCAAAAAGAACAAGTTGTAAGTAAAGATACTGCTGAAATCACCCACCTGGTCAAAAAGAACAAGTTGTAAGTGAAGATATTGTTGAAATCACCCACCTGGTCAAAAAGAACAATTTGTTAGCGTAGGCACTGTTGAAATCACCAATCCAGTCAAAGAGAACAAGTTGTAAGTGAAGGTACTATTGAAATCACCCACCTGGTCAAAGAGAACAATTTGTTAGCATGGGCACTGTTGAAATCACCAATCCGGTTAAAGAGAACAAGTTGTAAGCGAAAGTAATTGTTGAAATCACCCACTCGATTAAAGAGAACAAGTTGTAAGCAAAGATACTGCTGAAATCATCCACTTGGTCAAAGAGAACAAGTTGTAAATGATTGTACTGTTGAAATCACCAATCTGATCAAAGAAAACAAGTTGTAAATGAAGGTATTGTTGAAATCACCCACCTGGTTAAAGAGAACATTTTGTTAGCATAAGTACTTTTAAAATCACCAATCCGGTCAAAGAGAATAATTTGTAAGATAATGTACTGTTGAAATCACCCACCCGATCAAAAAGAACAATTTGTTAGCGTGGGCACTGTTGAAATCACCAATCTGGTCAAAGAGAACAATTTATTAACATAAGTACTGTTGGAATCACCAATCTGATCAAAGAGAAAGGAAGTTATAGCGAAGAAAATGGTTAATTTTTAAAAAGCTATGTGTAAAAAATTCTAATCATATGTAATCATCTGACAGAACATTTATTTTACTATAAATACCATATTAATATTTTTATGTAATATGTATGTATATATGTATATACGTAATATCAATCTGCTTGCATTCGTATTATATATACATATATACATATTGTATAACAATTAATTATTGATATGTATTAAGTATTTGAGGTCAAGTTTTTGCTTGATTGTGTCAAGCACTAGTTGTCAAGTATAAAAATTATTACTTTCATAATATTATACAACTCATCAGATGTCATTTGTATAATATCAAAAATGTTTTTTATAATTTTAAGACCCTGAAATCTTGAAATCAATAAAAATCGCTATTCAAAAGTTCGAATCACCATATTTCTACACTTTTTTTCAAAAGACTTTCTGTAAAATCTAGCATATGTTTGAACAAACCAAGATCTAGCAAATGCATTCTATTAGAAACAACTGCTTCATATATATTAAAGCCCCTAATAATTTTAATTATTTATTATTATATTGTGCTTTTTAATAATGCTGTTAAATTATTAACGCCTTATTTTATTTTCCAAAATATATTCAGTTCAGGATGAATTGAGAAATTATTGTTTAATATTGCTTGTTTCATATCAAATAGAGTTCTGAGAAAAACTTGAACTAAATTTATATCATTTAATTTATCATTTGGTACTGTACAGGTACTACAAGGAAATTTGGCTTTAGATGATCAATATATATTTGTAAACTTATCATCTTCAACCATATCTACTATGATAACTTAAACCTGTGAAATAAATGAAACTATTTCCTTACAAACAACAAAAAACAATTCCTTCTTGTCAATTATTGGCCCAAAAAGTATCTCTAAACAATTTTGAAAAACTACTCTTTGTAATTTTCAAAATTTCTTAGAGTTCTTTGTAATAGAATCTTTTGCTTTTAAAATTGGAAGATATCCAACTAACGCTTTTGCCTCAAGTTTATTTCATTGAAAGTTAGGAATATTTTTAAGAGACAGGAATAGAGGATATTCAGATGATTTTCCTATATGATCTAATATTGTTTCATCTGAATAAAGAATAATTGAAAGTAATCATTGATCACCAAAAAGCCTTAATTCTTCTTTATTCCACCAGTTGCAATTATATTGTTTTTCAAAGATGCGACTCTCAATATTATTTGTTATATCAATTTTTCTTCATACTTTAATACAAGGGATTGATTAATACTATCAATCATTAATAAAGATTTTATTGCATTAATTAATGATTAATAGTAGAAGGTATACTTAACATTCTCAAATGTAGTTATAGAAGTTTTTTTGAACATATTATATGGAATAATAGTATTATCCAAAAATTATTTTCCAATTCTTGTTGATAAAAGTAATGGCGAAGTATTCACATTAGAGAATTTATTAAAAAACCTAATAAATGTGTTACTAGCTGAATTGGATATTTAATATTTAGTAAAAATTTCTATAAATTCTTGGTAAGCATCATTTGGCTACTTTATAGTATGTGGATAATGCAAATCCTTATAAGCATCATCTAACAATGCCTCTTCATAGTCAGTTTTAACTGTTTCGGATAACCAAAATTCATTTATGATAGAAGATTCTTTCTCTATAATAGAATATTGTTCTTCTATAGTACTAATTTCAGTTTCTGTTGAATAAAGTTTATTGGCGCTATTGAAATTAAGAAGAAATTAAACTGTAAAATAAAACAGATCATATAGGACCTTTGCTAACAAAATAACCTTTCAGAACTATAATTTACATAGTCCCGAATATGCTTGCTGACAAAACCCAAACCAAAAATTAAATTTCTTTTTATAAAAAATTAATCTAAAAAATGATCATTATATTTTGCAAATATATTATACATAGCTATAAGAATATACATATATATCATTTAATTTAATAAAGATATTAATTAAGTTTTCAACTCTCTCTGCTGATCTTCTGTATACAAAAATACAAAAACAAAACCATGACAAAAAATGACAAAAACTCACAAACGACTATAGGAAACAAAACTAGTAGCTCTTAGGAAAAAGCAAGAAGACTAAAAATAATACTCAGTCTCTTAAGAGACTTGAATAAATAAAGCAGAAATGGCAAAGATATAGTAAAAAAAACTAGAAAAATCATCGATAATTTTGTCTTTTGCAAGTCGTTTGAGAGATTGGCCTTGACTCTGTAATACAGATCAGTTACTATTACACAAGATATACAACATGTAATGAAGAATAAACAAAAAAAATACGTTAAAAAACATGTAACAGATGAAAACAAAGGAGATATACAAACACAATAACAAATTAGTTACGTGAAACAAGAAACAATAGAAAATGCTAGAACTAAACCTACAACAGCAAAACAAGCAGAGGAATAAATAGCAGCAATACATATAGAATTAAGACAATATAGATCAAAAAAAATTAAATATACAGAACTTGCACTTAGCAAAAGAAATAATACATTATATTAAGAGGCGATACAGTTAGAAATCGATCCAACAGAATATATCCTATTAGACGAAGTAACCAGTACTATAAGAAATCTATACATAGCAGAAAGAGAAAGGTTATTTGCATATAATAAAGAAAGAATAGCTGCTGAGTATACACAAGCTAGAATAGAAACAGGATGGATGAAAAGACTAGATAAACAGAGAAAGTGTTGATAAAGGCAGCATAACAAAATAAATTTAGGACTATTATTACAGCACTTTAGAGAATTAGTAGAATTAATAGAAATAAAACAACATGAAGAAAAAAAGAAAAATACAATTAAAAAGAAAATTAAGAAGATGCAAGTTCAACAGAAAGCAAAGCTGCTAAAACAAAAACATAAAGAAGCTAAAGAAAATGAAAAAATATTGAAGAAAAGAAACACAGGAAGAGATGTTAAAAGCCTTACAGAAAAAGAAACTTAAACAAACTAACTAAAGAATCAAGACCAAGAATTTTGATAACAACCTTAATAGAAAAGAAAAATTTCAGCAATATACAATTTAAAAACCTATAAAGAAAAATACTAAAGTAGATAGTAGAATTTATATATCAAGTAAACTTAAAAAGTAGGCAAGATAATATTAAAGATTGAATAAAGAAGAAAAAAAAAACCTTGGTTGAATGGAATAGACAAATTAGATCAGTAACAGACACCAATACAAATGAAGAAAATATCATACAAGAGGCAGCAACAGGAAAAATAATAAAAGTTAAGAATTGGAAAAGAAAAAAGAAAGACACCAGATTTAGAACAGCAAGAAGAATTATAAGAGAAGTAGCCAGAAATCAAGAGAAGTACTTTAAACTGCAAAAAAAGCTATACAGAAGAAAAGCAAGCTTATAGAATAAAAATGAAAAAGCAGACATGCAGTTTCGAACAATCAAGAATTGGAAGAGAAAAAAGAAAAACTTCACATTTAAAACAGTAGGAAGGCTTTTAGAAAGACTAAAAAGTAAAAAGAAGTATACAAGATCTCGAAAGATACTTATTAGAAGAAATGCAGAACTATGGAGTAGAAGAAAAAAAGAAAGTATAAAGTTCTGATAAAAAAGTAAAGAAGAACCCGAACAAGCTAACCAAGTTCTAGAAGTAGAAGAATCTAAAATAATATAGAATGAACTAGAAGGAGAGAAAAGCTACAAACGAAAACTTATGAAGAAAACCTGTATAAAGAATACTATCAAGAGTAAGAAAAGCAAGTGAATCTCAAAAACTGAAAGAAACACAAAAAGAAGAGGAAAAATAGAAGACTGAAGTGTCAGAGCAGACTATTAGTAGAAAATAAGAAAATGAAGGATGAAAGGATGAATTAGGTTAACTATAGAAGATTACAGGAAAATTAAGTAATAGCAAAATTTTTAAAATGCATAGAATAGAAAATATATAACGTAATAATCTTATTTTAAGATTAGCAATTTAATGCTTTGCATTGTTCACAAGTACTGGCCATGGCCAAAGTGCAGTTATGTTGTAGAATATAAATATAATTAGATAGTACTGACAAGGTGGGTAGTACTGACAAGGCGGGTAGTCACCAGCCGATAACCAAAGGAAAATAAATCCTTAGTGAGTTAAGAATCCGGAGGAAGGCCAAGGACTACTAAGGCAGGTCGCATCTGAGCAAAAGCCAGGGGTGAGTCTCTAGTTTGGTTAGATTAGCAATAGCTACAGATAGAAATGTATAATTCTTGAATAGCTTAATCTCAAATAAACAGAGACAGAATTGCTGAATTATAAAAAAAAAGATATTAATTAAGTTTTTGAAATATTAGTTTAGCCAGAATTTGGATTTGGCTATGAACAAATCTAAACTATAATAGTTTGGAATTTGGATAACAAGTATAGTTTCGAAGGGTTTTTTGTTAGTAAAAATTCCTTTTTTTCTAATTTTAAAATTCTATATGAATTATATACTAGTATAATATTGTATCTAATATCTGTTTATATTCCATAGATAAAGATTCGTCTTCTTCTACTAAAGGTTTATCTCCTATTAAGAAAGTTTTAAGGTTTGTTTGATTTCTTTTAATTTATAAAAATTTATAAGAATTGATAATTAATGTTTAATAACTTTTAGTAATCAGAACCTATTGGCGATTGTTCTTTATCAGAATATTCTTCTCCAGAATATTCTGGTGGCAAGCTCCAAATCTCATCTAATTCTTGAGGTTGTGCTATCTTAGTTAATTGCATAGTGAACTCTTTAATTTATAGATGTTTTCATGAAATATGCTGAGTCAGATTATTTGGTTTTAATATGATTTATTATAGTAGAAGCACTTTCAACACATATTTACTTATGATTGAATAAAATTACATTATCGCTTATAATTGAACTTGATGATTTTAAAATAATATAAAATAAACGTAATATTTGAGTAGTTTAATTTACAAAAATTGTGTTAATATTATATAATCATATGAACTATTTTTATTTTTTTAAATATATTAAATTTGGAAGGTAACAAGTGTTTTTGCTATATATATTGCATCTTTATAATAATTATTGTTAATCATTGAATTGAAATGAGCAACTCAAAGACTAAAAAAGTGAGAAAGAATAATGAAGAAAACCAATCTGCATTGTTTAATAAACTATAAAAAGGTTGTAAAATATCGCAAACAAATCAATTTTACTTTTTTTTTAAATACTAATCTTTTAAAATTAACTTTTAAAACATTTAAAAAATGATCATAATGAATTTTTTTTTTTTTTAAATACTAATCTTATAAAATTAATTTTTAAAACATTTAGAAAATGATCATAATGAATTTTTTTTTTTTTTTTAAATACTAATCTTTTAAAATTAATTTTTAAAACATTTAGAAAATGATTATAATGAATTTTTTTTTTTTTTTTTTTTTTTTTTTAAAAAATAATTTTTAAAAAAAAATTTCTATTAATATTTCAAGAATTGCCAGAATACGGCTATAAACGTTAGTTCGAAGAACAATTATTTGCTTAACAAAAACAACAGTATCTTATATTAAAAAAGATTGATAATGATATTTAAATGATTAAAAGTAAAGTAAAGTGATTACAAAGTGAACAAGAGAATAATCTCACTCCACAGATATTTGATATAGATATATTTTATTACAGCAATTTTTTTCGTACATCAGTTTGTGTAACTTTGCGTACATCAATTTGGCTCAGCCAACAAAATTGCGAGAAATTTTAGATATTACATTAGCTTAAGTTCATGTAACATCGCGTACATCAATTCGGCTCAGCCAATAAAATTGCAGTAAATTTTAGATATTACATTAGTGTAATATCATGTATATCAATTCAGCGCAGCTGATAAAATTGTAAAATTACATTTTGGAAATTAAAATTTCAAGAAATAACATGTTTCCAGATATTAATCAAAAGATCAGAGTTGCAATGATGCATAAGATCGATGCATATGATGTAATAAATAAAAGTCAAATGAAACGTATTTAAAAGCGAAAAAAAAAAACTTTATCCTGCAGTAGATCATCCTGTTGATATCATTAATAACATGGATCCTGTTGATATCATTAATAATATGGAATCAGAATTTATCTATCAGACCCCTGATGATACACGTATAAATACTGATATTATGGAGTCAAAACATATCTTTAAAACCTTTAACAATCATATATATCATAGTACTACAGATTTTATAGAGCCAAAATATGCTACGGATGCTATGGTATCAAAATATACTTTTGAAACTTTTGATAAAGTTTTTATGAATAATAGTGTTTTAAATCAAAAAATGCCTTAAAAACACATATAGATAGTAGTGTTGTAGAGCCGGAACGCATCTTTGATACTTTTTCTGAAGCATGTGCAACAATCGAGCAATATGCTACACAAACAAATGCCGTTGTAATTTTAGATAAAACAACACGAAATTCAGATAATAGTGACTATATACAAGCAACATTTGTTTGTGAAAAACAAGGCAATTATAATGGAACGAATGAAGAACATACAACAAAACATATTGGATGCCCTTTTGCAATCACTATAAATTACTGCAAATGCTCTCAAAAATTTGCTATAACAAAATCAAAGTTGGAGCATAGTTATAAGCCCTGTTTGGACGCTGTAAAATTTAGCACTGTTGAACGTAAATTTGATAAAGATGATCTTGGCTTGATTGAAAAACTCCATGATGATGAATTAAGAACCAAAGATATATTTTCTGTACTTAACTCAGTAAGCTGCAAATATATTCACAAGCCTGACGTTTATAATGCTATAAGTCATTATCGCCAGTATAAACTTCGTGGCTTGAGATTGAAATGCTCTTTAAGACTTTATATGATGATGAAAATATCTTAGGGTATACTGCATTAAAAGCGGCTTATAATACTGAAAGAGATCAAGATGGTGAATTTGTTCAAGGAATTTTTTGGGCATACCGTAATGCATTTTCTGAATTTATGATTACAAAGGATGTTCTTATTATTAATGCTACATACAAGACCAACAGATTTTCCATGCCATTGATAGTCATCTGTAGCGTTAATAGATTTAGATCCACATACCCATTAGCCTTTGTGCTTGTATATTCTGAAACCGTTGACTTTACTATTGGATAATGCAGCAATTAAATAAGGTGTTAATTGAGTTAATAGGTAACTTATTCTATTTGCTAATTTTTTTTTTTACAGATTCTTTTTATTTTATTTGTTACTTTTTTTGTTTGTTTTATTCATTCTATTTTTATTTTTTATTTATTTGTTTTTTTATTTTATTATCTTTTTTTTTTGTATTTATTAAATAATGCGGAAGTGGCAACAATAATAACTGACTGCGAATTAGCACTCATGAAAGCAATTTCTAAAGAATTCCCTAATACACAGCATCAGTTATATACTTGGCATATCTTCAAGAATATTAGAAGCAAGCTTAAAAAACTTGTTGATATTGAAGAGTTCATTAAAATCATTCAAAAACTCGTATACGATAATAATCTAGAAAATGATCAAATTGATCAAGAGATTGCAGCATTATGGAAACAATTTCCAAAGGCAAAGACTTATATGTGCGAAACTTGGATACATTATAAAAATAGCTGGTTCGCATCATATACAAAATACAATATAAATCTCGATATCAAATCAAGTCAATGAGTAGAAAGTTTACATAGCAAACTCAAGGGCATCGAAAATCGGGTTACTCCAGTTGATAAGTTAGTATTAAGCCTCTGATATTTGTCATTTTATTCAAATTATCTAAATTTTATTTTGGTTATGATACTGTAACAGATTACTTACAACTCTTTGGTGACAATTATAAGAAAGTTCCCAAAAGATTGCTTACAAAACGTTTTTATATCAGAATAAGCATGTAAATAACAGTGGAGATTCAGGTTTAGAAAACCTGAGATTAGTTTGTTCACAATTCACATTTGAAACATTATAAAGCCTCAAGGTGATCTTGTAAAGTCTGGTATCTATGAGGCCTCAGAAAGTAACAACAGCACATATAATGTAATGCAAATTGATGACAAAGTCAACACAATGCATGTTGTACATATCAGAGCTTCCAGTACCTGCACGTATTTGTACTCTCAACATACTAGAACTCCTTGTGACACATTATTTCAGTTTATTTATTATTTTTACATACTTCCGTTCCTTCGAGTAAAATTCATCAGCGTTAGTATGTAAAAAATTATGAAGAAACCGAACATGCTGACTATTCAAATGTTATACAAATTTTTAAGCAGATTCCGAAGGTTCATCACAATGACTTTTTAGATCTAATGCAGCAAGTTTCTAATCATATTATTGAATATAGAAAAGTATCAGAGTTTCTACCAAGTAATTCAAATTTCACATATGAAAGTATATTTAAGACAATTAGCATTGATAATTTAAATTATGATAATATCAAGATGCTGATAGTTAAACGTGGACGTGGTCAACCACAGAATAACAAACATATATATAGCAAGAATGAAGACAAGAAAACTTCAAAAAAAGTTTCTATTAAACAAAAAAGTAACATAGTAGCGTCATGTTCTCCTGGCATGTATTCTAATTCTTCTATCTCTCAAGATATGATATTATAAGTGCATAATCCAATTTCAGATGGTCATTGTGGATTTAGGTCGTTAGCTGTAGCCTTATTTAAAAATGAGGAAAGGTGGCAAGCATTAAAGTTATCATGAAAGATTAGTTAACTAAGCAAAAAAAATTGTATAACAATAAACTTGGATATAATATGGATCAATTTAGGGCTGTTGTAACATGTATAGAACCAATGTGCTCTCGAGAATTTTGGTTCTATTCTCCAGAATGTGTACAACTAGCGTCGAATACATTCAATGTACCAATCATAATATTTGGTGCAAATTCTAAAGCAAGTCTTTTTTTTTTTGCCCTATAATCAAAAGCCTGGTCGTCGCAAAAAGTCTATTATTTTGCAATGGCAAGGACAAAATCATATTGTATTAGTTCAGCTCAAACCAAATAAGAATGCCCAGCTCCCACCTCTAAATCCACAGTATATATCAGTTTGTTGTTGTTATGGCTTTTCTGATGAATGGCTTACGCTTTTTTCATAATTTGTCATTTTTACTTTAATTTACTGTTTGCTTTTATATCTTTGCATTTTTTTGCTTTCATATATTTGCTTTTCGTCTATATACTTTTGCTTTTTAGGTTTGCATAATACATGCTTATTGGAATATAGTAAGTGCATTAGTTTAAATACTTTGATCATATAATCATAACTTATATCTTTTAAGATATAGTAAGTGAATTAGAATATGTAATAGAGGGTAAAACTTAAAAGATATAAATTCAATTATATACAATAATTGTTTCTCTTTAGTTTTTATTACAGCGAAGACATATTAACTATATGTAGGGTAAGTATATGCAAAGTATAATACATTAGTATAAGCCTATAACTTTGAATTCGAGATCTCATAAAGTAATTGAGAGCTCTAATAGTAGCCACCACAGTTACTCAATCTATGTCTTTATTGTTTATGTAATCTTTATTCTAATTTATACTTATCTTTGAACTCGTTTATTTTTACTTTTTTAACATATATGTATTTGTATATCACAATAAAGCCGACATACTATATGATACAAATTGTTCCAAAAGTACTCACATCTAGTTTGATAAGCGAATCTTTAATCATTTAATATACCAAAATTCAGTATTTTCTTTCCTATACATAGATTAAAAAATAAAAAATGCACTGGAATAGATAGGCGTCAAAATAGGGATCTAACTGAACTCTAATAATAGTAAAACTTGGATTGAGACATGGTCTAATATATTTACGAGGTGCAGAAAAAAGGTTTATTAAAAATTGATTAAAGCAAAATTTGATTATATACGTACGTATATACGTATATAAATTAATATAGTATAGTATAAATTTCCCGCAAGTTTATTGGTTGAGCTGAATTGATGTACGTGATGTTACATGAACTTAAGTTAATGTAATATCTAAAATTTCCCGCAATTTTATTGGCTGAGCCGAATTGATATATGTAAAGTTACACAAACTGATATATGAAAAAAATTGCTGATTTTATTAAAGTAAAAAAATTTTAGAAAATAACATTATATTCTTAAATTTGTAAAACATATACAATAATGTAGTCAAACAACTATTTCCAAAATACCTATACTCTTTTTAGAATCTTTTAAAAGATACTTTTGAAGCTTATCTTAATGAAAAATTTTTAAATTCATGTCAAAGCATTAACTCTAATTAGTTTAATAATCATTTTCATAGTGAATAGACAAGCACTATAAATTTGATAATAAATCATTTTTAATTTTTTAATTATTTATTTTTATATTTAATTTTATTTTTGGTTTACTTTTATTTTTATTTATTTATATTATTTTTATTTTTATTTTTTTTTTTATATTAAGGTGATAAATCATTGTTAAACTTTAAATAGATAATTAACATTTGTTTTTGCTCATATTAACAGCTTCTGCAAAAAATGAAAAATTATCATAATACTACTATATCACATATAAGACAAGCAGTGCATCAGGTTTTCAGATTCCAACAATTGCTATAATTAAAGAAAAAAGCATCAGCAGACAAAATTGTTGCTTAGAAAAATCATAAAGAAGTAACAAAAGAAATAGTAATAGCATTTTTTAGACCAAGATTATTGTAAAAGAATTCTTTTCTGAGGCTGCTGTACCTATCTTTAGTAATGAGCATCTTGCTTTTATACTTATCTTGTGTGATATTTATTTAAACCCCTATTTGAAAGGTGTTACTTGCATTGAACACAAAGTGAAGCATCGATTCGAACAGTATTTTGTATATATTTGAAAATAATCGTTACTAATTTTTAATTGGTTTTAAAATAGTATTTTTTATAATAATATGTAGTATAATTTCGAAACTGAAGAACCATCATACAACTTCTGCTAAAACTATTTTATATTGTGAGATTCAATTTTAAACTGTGAAGGTTTCCTAGAATCTGAATCTGAATATGAACATAATGTATCTACAATGTCAAAAGAAAGTTCAATATTACTTTCTCAAGAGGAAAGTAATAACTTATTTGATATTTAATGAATTGTGCAATTTTTTTGCTATAAATAGAGATTTTTGCTATAAATAAATAAATAAATAAATTATGCAAATTTTTTTTACTATAAATAGAGATTTTTGCTATAAATAAATAAATAAATTTAATTATTAAAATTAAGTTTATATATATCAATAGTTGTCTATTACCAGTTTTTTATCTTAAAAAAATAATTGTTTAAATAAAAACGTTTAACATTCCAAAGCCCAAATTTTTAATCCTAAATTCTAAATTTGATGGTAGATTATCATTATAGCAGAGAAAGTAGAAGTTATACAGAGTTATTTCACAATTAATAATAAATTTTTTATGTTATTTTAGAATACTTTTTGGAAAAGTATATTTCTAAGAAATATAGAAAATTCTTTAAGAAAATAGAAGCTTACAATTTGCTTTATAATATATTTCTTGAATCTCTATGAATTTGATTAGTCTATACTAACATTGATGAATTTTCTGATTCTACTGTGCAGAATGTTAAAAGTATTTACAGATCATTAGAACAAATATATTTTAGAGTGCAAAGTCGTAATTCTTAACAATCAACTAAAATTTCTTTGTCCTGTGGTCGTTCTGATTATCTAAATGTTTAAAACACATAAGAAGAAGTTTGTCTGATTGGCTAATGTAAACCAATTTCTCAGGTAACTTTTTTATATACTTTAAAGTACTTTTTGGCAACACAACATTTTACTAACAATAAATCGTAGCCTTAAAATAGTACCTATATTCATTGTACAAAAGAATCTAAAAACAATCTTATTCTTCACAGACTTTGTTTAGAAAACAAAATAGCTGGCTGTTTATTAGACAATCTTAAATTATATTGATAAGTAGGAATGTTTTTATTCAAGATTGCCTTATTGTATTAGATTTGAAAAACTTTTATTGCTAACTATTAGATTTAAACAAGAATAGCAAATAGGTTTATTAAGTACTTAGAAAACTCTTTACTATACATCACTAAAATTAAGTAAACAAAAAATAAAAAAAATCGAAAACTATAGATTATAACTAATTAACTATATAAAACAACAACAAGAAGTGTGCGGTGCACTTCTAGTGAACCCAATAGACTCAAAAGAAATAGCAGATATCAAAATAACTAAAAGAACAAGAGACGAAAGCAACAACAACCCAACACACAAAATAACCTACAAGGTTACCCCACAACCAAAGGGGAAGACCAAAAAAATGGACTACCAACAACAGTCTACAAAGATACATACTGTAGATAACATTAATACAACTAAAGACTACCAAACTGACCACATCAATAGACACTCTAACAAAAAACAATGACAAGAAGGCTATTCTCACTCATCCCCATACTCAAAAAGTGGCAAAACTAGTTCACCCTCATCAAATTCAATCATGACGTCATCCTATATATACAACAAAACAACTGTGGGAAAAAATAACAATTACGTGTCTATATCCGGTTACAACAACAACAACTCGACATAACAAAACAACAATGGCTCTCAACAACCTATAATAGGAAATACAACATGCCTACAACCTACCAACAATTTATGGAACACAGCAGAAACCTAATTAGATGATCTATTAACTACCAATGCCTTGAGAGCACATACTGCACCTTTCCCAACAACTGC